ATCTGGTGTGTGTATGCTCCTTCAAACATTCTAAAAAATACAGTATAATTAAAAATATATTTTCTAACCATCCCTGTCAGTTAACATCTTAAGCTTACCTGACAAGCTTTAACGAATCTATGAATAAACATCCAGCCTTAACACCACCTTTAACACCAAAACATAGCACACATCCAAAACCATTTCTCATATACTTTTTAGCATTCGTATGATATGAATGGGACTCAAGTCCCGGATACGAAACCCAGCTTACAACATCTGTCAAAGTTTCTAACCATCTTGCTAATTTCAAAGAATTTTCTGCTTGTCTTTCAACTCTTAATGATAAAGTTTCAATACCTTCTAAAAGAAGAAAAGCACCAAATGGATTTTGACATGCACCTATGTCACGCATGACTTCCGCACGCGCTTTAACAATGAAGGAGTTTGATCCGCATGCTTCCCAGTATCGCAGACCATGGTATCCAGGAGCTGGTTCGGTAAAAGATGGGAATTTACCGTTGTTCCAAGGGAACTTACCACTGTCAACTATTACACCACCTATAGTTGTTCCATGGCCACCAATCCACTTTGTTGCGCTATGAACTACAATGTCTGCACCGTATTTAATTGGTTGTATTAAATAACCGGCTTTGGTGAATCATGATATTTAAATAAAAACAAATGGTTAGAAAATATATTTTTAATTATACTGTATTTTTTAGAATGTTTGAAGGATCATACCAGCACCAAATGTATTATCAACAATTAAAGGGATACCCGCATCATGGGCCACTTTCGCAATCGCCTCAAAATCAGGAACATTAAATGCTGGATTACCCATGGATTCAATATAAATAGCTTTAGTATTTTCATCAATCGCTTTGGCAAATTCTTGTGGATCATCGCCATGTACAAATTTTACATTGATTCCTAATCGTGGTAATGTAACCTATAATAAAAAATAAAATAAAATTATTAAATAAAACAAAGAACTATTTATCATAGCATATTAAGTGAAAAAAACCTTGAATTGATTATAAGTGCCACCATAAAGATAACTCGAAGATATGATATTGTCACCCGTAACACAAATTGTAGCAATTGTGATAAATTGAGCGGCTTGACCTGAAGATGTGGCAAGAGCACCAGTACCTCCTTCTAAAGCAGCGATTCGGCTTTCAAATACCTCTAAATTAACAAATTGAAATCAACAATCAACTGGATTCTGTGTTTTACATTACACCCCTCCTCCTCGGCGTTCCCCCTCTCCCTCATAGTAAAAAAATTTAGATAAATATACAATAGGGCTACGGGATATTTCGGAAAAACTTTATAGTCACGGAACAATTCGGAAAATTTTTTGAAAAAAAAAATTTTAAAATTTTACTAAGTTTATGTAAACCACAAATTCTCCCCCTCCCCCCCCTCTTCCGGAGGGGAGAGGGGTAATG